TCGCTAGATTCACACACGTTTGAGCAAAACCCACTTACACTTACAATATATCAACTCAACTGAACACGGCGAGATGTGCCGAAACCACGCACGGCTGTGGTTATGTGAGTAATAGTAACACAGCTTATTCATGAACGGCACAGTACAGATCAAAGCCCCGCGTGGTAATGGACAACCTCGATATATTTTCATTTACACAGACAAAATTGTGCTTTGGAGTGTCACAACATCGGAGTGGTTACCTGTCAACCTATCGGGCTCAAACAGCAAACAACACAGGAATGTTAGCAGTTAACAGGTTTGTCGTAAAATTTGTATCGTTTGATTATTCCATGAAATAATCTTTCAATATAACAGTTACAGATTAAACAAAAAAAGTGAGATATGTTTTATTGTTTGATAAAATAGATGTAATAGGATCTCTTTCATCTAGAATTTTTTATTTGATTTATTTTATAATTTTTAAATGATACACAAATGGCCAAATACTCAAACGCTTCCCAATGGTAACACTTTCACTGTCCGGTTTCCAGACAATGGTAAGACCCATATGTGGGTCACGTGACAGTGAGTGTTAAAATGTCGTTAAGTGCCGCTGGTGTGGTGACACCACGACACTTAATGACGTCATCAACTATGACTTAAGTGATAGAGACAGTATGAGACTTACGGCGTCTTACAATTGAGTTAGTTTAGAGTATTTGCGCAAAAATTATATAAAGTATAATTGTCATGGCATCCTTACACCAAGAAAAAATTGGTAATTAATAAATATATCACTTACAATTGATTATTTTAAACAATTTGACTGCATTCAATTTTCCCTACAGCAAATCGTAGTAAGCGTTTGAACAGAAATTTAGACAGTCATTTATATATGTATAGTTCTCAATTGTTGCTTAAAGATCACTAGGCTATATTACCAAGAATATTCACGTTTTACCAATTGTCAAATTACTGTCAGAACGCTCCTACAGATAACAAAACACTCAACTGATGATATAATTAAATAAAATTATCTTAATTTATATTTTGCGACATTTTCGTAATACATTGTAGCGCCTGGGTTTTGAACACAACGGAAATACACTTACACTATGGTCCCTTTCAATTTGGATGGGGAAAATATATAACCAAGTCGATTCGCAAAATAAAGTTATACATTGCCTCAAATATAACATTTAAATATATATCAGCAAAGGCACCTACTGTGTTTTTGGTAACAATATAACAATCACATAATTCAACAAATATTTAAAACTTAAATGTTTATGGAAATAAATTTGAAACCCCCGTATTTTTAGTCTGTTATATCGACATTGTGCGTAGCTTGAGTAGCAATCATTTTATTAGAAGGAATAATTTTGACGTATAAAATATAACTTGCTTTACTGTGAATTACGTTGATAGTGAGCTGCTGCAAAGCTCCCGTATCATTACACAACATATTGGTACCTATACTAAATATATTTCTATGTCAGAATACATTTACAACCCAATCTCGTAAGACCTTAGAGTAAGTGGGAGTATAACGAATCATGCTTCATTGAGTTCTCATTTAATTTCCAGTCTTAACAACATGATTGAATTAACAAACAAAATGTGGTATAATCAAAAAAGGCTCGTATATATAATCTAGTAAAAAGGAATAATAATAAAAGGTACAAATGGCAACACTGTCACAATGTACGTCAAAGGCGGAAACGGAATTCGCTCTGTTTAAAGGCTTTCGAAATATTCTAGTGTGACTAGTTATGCAACACATATGAATTGAATCTATATGAAATTTCATTCGACATGTACTATACTTTAAAAACCTTTTTTCAGTTGGAACAAAATATGACTGCACGCACTTGACAGCTACCTGAACTGATATTGACAGATTGTCGCATGTCAGATTTAACATTTTTTTTAATTGCCTTTATCTATAAATTACAACATTTACAGTAGTTTTCGATAAAACTACCGATTCAGCGCATAATATTCAATTTCGCTTTAGACGAATTTAATGATATTCAAAACTCAATCAACAAAATCAATTTAAATTCTGTCACTGTCTTGACTCCTGTTTTATTGTGATTTACGTTGACTAGAATTCAAAAAAAAATCAACCACAAAAAACTACTATATTTTTGCCAATCAAAAAAAAACTTGTTTGTGGCGCGTAAATTTCAAATAACTATCTTTTTTTTTAGTAATATAAGACTGTGTTTTGCAGTTCCATTAAGATAACCGAAGTTGAGAGTCGCAAATGACAGAACAGCCAAAAAAACGAGGTCACTTTGACAATTATTGTATTTAATTAAAACAATCATGTGCGCTATACATATAAATAACGCGAACAGTGACAACAAACTCAAACTTTAAATCCAGGCCAACGTAACAAGACACCACAATTTGGAATTTGTCAAATATAATGTATGTAACTTAAAATTATCTTTAAAACACAGACACAGACTTTTGAATTAGATTAAAAAAGCAGTTTTTGAGAAATATATCCATTTATAGAATAGTTCATTTTATTATTAGGGTTTTTTTTCAATCCAAGCCTAATCCTCCGACTGTGAACATTATTTGAATGTTATATTGGTATTGTTGCCGTGTGTCCACAAATCTATTCCATAAAATTAGGCATTTAACATATAATAATAAAGCACACCTGAGATTCTTATATACCCAGCTCTCTTACTTTTTCAATCCTTCTAAGAGGTTATTGTTCACCCAAGCTTCAAAAGAAATTACTTGTATAACGTGTTTACAAAGTGATATGGAGCATTTTACAGTATGAGGTAAGGTTGGTATAAAATTATTGACTACAAAACCTACTCTCGTCCCACCGACAGTAATCTTTAACAAAAGTTCTTCTAGAAGATAAAAAGCGCATATTATGCACTTAGTTTTGCCCATTTATGTAACTATGTCATATCAAATCATAGTGTAAACTACCCTCATATCAACTCCACTTGAAAACATCTAAGGACAATCAAACAGTAAATAAACAACATTCGCTCTCTCGCTTGACAACAAACATTCTCACTCGCACGTGTCACGCACAACCTCATTGTTTAAATTTCTTCAATTATGTAACTAAATTTTCGGTTGGTTTGTGCCGTCCGTGTATTTAAAATTTCATATTGGAATATAACTCCTCTTGTATGTATATTTTGATTTAAATTATATAATTTATTATCTTTAGTAAACTTTAAAATGTCGTGATTTATAAAATACAAACTCAACAACAACAATTGGCACAAAATACTGTAGTTAATGAAATGATAACTTTCCAACAGACTTGTCTAAGCTATATACTTGAATTTGTTATTATAAATTAATTATGAAGTTTTCTAAGATACACGGCCAGCACAAAACAACCCTAGCTAGTCTAGTCGTACAAGCGACCGCGTATATGCAGCCACTATAATACTATATCAAGATATTGACAGCTCGTGGCGTCATACATCCGTTTACCGGGTTTTATGTTTGCCACTCAATTATCTAAAACACTATTGAGATCTATCTGCTCATATCACTTTGCAATAGATCACTTTTTTATTAAATGCCAGCAAAATATTACGCAAATAATTAAAAAGAAACTCCAAAGTCGTGGGTTCGAATCCACGATTCGACAATTGAACCACTCCTAGCGCACAAGCATGTAAAACTTAGTTCACTGGAGTGTTTGGTATGTTAATAACACTGCTATAATTCTGACACTGGTATTTCAGGACCCATATAGCTGCTCGCACTAATAAAAAGTATATAAAAAAAATAACAAAGCCCAAGTTTATCTCCATTCCAGGGAAAGTACTACCTTACTGATTATGCAATTTGCACATTATTACATTTTCCATTGAGTAAATTGTCAAATTTATGAAACTACCACTAATAAGATTCATAAAAATAAACCTATCAGGATATCATAGCTATCTCCAAAAAAAAACTTTACAATGAACTCACTTCTCCCGATAAAATAAACGATTTTGTACAATTTTTAATCAAAACTGGTTTGTATATAAGATTTGAAAATATCATTTCATAATTACTGTGTCACACAGTCCTTAAGAAAACAAAGAGAGCAGTTGTTTAAACGTTTCACGTTCAAAGTCGTTCTAACTAAGTGGCAAACATGAAACTGGTAAAAATAAGACATCACAGTCAAATTTATAACGGGCTAAGCTGATATCCACCGACAGACGACGTAAAATCGAAGCAAAGTTACAAACATCTAAAACTTTATTACTTGATTATTGACTGTTCATAACTGCGTGGATAGATGACAAATAACAGAGAAGATAATTGTACAAGCCCAACTACAAGCTTCTCTGCTGTAGAGAAGTAGTAAATTGGAATAAAATTTAGTAACTAACTGTACTTTGTTTATCATAATCAAAGCTCTGAATCCTCTCTAACCCTGTTATGTGAATTTTGTCAATGTATGAAATAAAACTAATTTTATACTACTTTTCTAGCGTATAATTAATTTTTTTAATTCCCGCTGTTTGTTTACTCATGGTCACGGGGAATCTGAGGTGTTTGATGTCTTAATGTCACAGTTTTGGTCTACATAGAAAAATTAATAATTAAAAGTTGAAGGTAGTCTTCGTAAACTATGATATCAGGATGTCAAACACCCCAATCTCCCCTGTGACCATGGTGCTATAAAGTGCCCGAAACGTAGCGAATTGAAAAATTTAACACTAGCTGCGTTAAAATCTTTATAAAATTAGTTTTATTCAAGTGCAGTATTCGCGAATATATATATGTGTGTGTATGAAATCATTATTTGTCAAGAATATAATTTTTTATACAGTAAAAAACAAAATGATAAAACAAAAAACCAGGTATCAAAATACCTTAAACCATTCAGTAGGCAACAGTTCAATGGAAGAGTTTTTATTTGTAAAGATGTTTGTTTAGTTGCTATTTGCTACACTGTCGATGTTAGCGCGCTATGCTGCCGTCGTCGGTGCGGCGTGGTTGTAGATACGCACTATAGTAGTTTAACGCCACCTGCAAAGTAATAGAGGAAGTTAGAAAGTTTCAACCATAGAGCTATTATGTACTACGTACTAGATGCGACACTGCATTCAGTCACCCGTTAGGCGCTTGTAGAGATGTCACGTGTTGTGTTGATTTAAAAAAAATCTCTTGATAAAAATATGCCGTCGTGTGTACTTAGAGATACATAATAAAATAAATTATACCTAAGACGCCATCTCGTGTCATGGAATATAGATTATGAAATTAATATGTTCAGATGCGACATTTCTGTGAGTACTTAAGTATAGGACGAATATATTATTATACACATTTTTTGTAGAAACATATATAAGTTATTATAATTAAGCTAAATTTTCTTTTATTTTATTTTGAGGTTTTGACTTGAAAAAAGGTCAAACTGGAATAAATTCGTCCATTTTTAACTCTCGCGTGCCCAGCATTTATGAACGACTCTTATTCTAATTTAAATATATATATTTGTAATTTAAATGTTTTTTTATATTTGACATAGATGAGGTATCTAAAATATTTAGATAAAAATATCATTAAAATGTAATTGTGATATAATATTATATTATATTAAATAAGCAAATATAATATACAAAATAAATGACAAAATTTAAATATTGTTCTCTATATAATTTACCTATTTAACAATACAATCTAATATTACCTACGGATCATTCTACCTATGTTTATTCTATGATAAAAAACCAACCGCGCTAACACAGAGTAGCGCACATTTTTTGTTTGAGATAGCTGTTCTAGTACGTAAGTACATATTACTTCAATGGTTTCAACAAATTTAAATACGGCAGAGCAATGCTACAGCTAGCTATATTATGGCTGTAGCACAAAAGATTCAGCTCAACCAAGGATAAAACACGCGTTTCATAATACCAGCGTAAAATAGCTGCTTAATGCTGCTGTTCATATGATGAGTATAGAGAACAAGAGACATACATACAACAGACATACTTACTATAATTCAGACATTACATCTTAGTCCTCCAGGGTGACAACATATCTACATGTATGTAGAAAGGCGTACTGTGAAGTGTAAAGTTAGTTGTAAGTGTAGTGTAAAGTTACAGCGAGGTGTACTGTGAGAATATTAGTAAGTGTACAGAGTTAAGTTACAATACAAGCAAGGTGTTTTGTGACATGTACAGTGACCGTACAGCGAGGTGTACTGTATGGTGTACAGCGAGGAGCGCAGTAGTTCAGTGAGAGCGGGTGTACTCACAGCACTTGGTGCGGCTGCAGCGCGGCGAGGTGAGCGGGCGAGGGCGGCACGCCGGGCGGCGCGGGCGGCAGCAGCGTCTGCGCCAGGCCCTCAAACCTACCGCTCGCCTCGAAACCGTTCTGCTGGGGACGACATATCCAACATATAATAAATTATACAGCCGTCGCTTCGGTTCGGTCGGCTTAATAATTGAATAGATTCATTGACCTACTACTAAGTGGACGGCGGGTCTAGAACAAAATTCACGAAACATGTGTTCCGAGTTAAACCATATTAAAAATATTACATGTATAGAAATGTAAAAAAAAAAAAACTATTTCATCCTAATTCGAACCATATTCTCATGAATAAACAGCTCAATTTTACTTGCGACAATTTATCAGCCTACTTAACTTCGATTAGAGGTCGTACTATTTTCTCCTTGTCAAACTTCTAGCGAAAATTACGTTGTATAGTTTTCACAATTAATATTTAAATGAAATTCTATGTATCTAAGCAAAATATCAGTTTTTATATGATTTAATATTAGTATTCCTTCATGAAAACATGATAGGCCTTCACCTTTTCTCATTTTACTTTACTTATGTTTTTTCCACGTTCTTACAATCCAGTGGGTACGGCAATTTCGACGTGTTGTATGGCTCCTCTTCACGATCGGCCATGATGGGCGATTACACGCGAGCACGATCGTGTAGAGGGGCTAATCGCCTGTAGTTGCCCATCATCGTCCTCAATCGTCGTTGATCGTCGTCGTGATCGTGGCGATCGTTGCCTTGTCGGTGTTCCAGGCACACATCAAAGAGAATCGCTTGTAATTGCGTGCGCGTGCCCACACGATCGCCGATCATTCATTCACCGGAGAACAGCGAGCAGTGCGTACGTCGCGTCGTTTTTAAGTTTTTAAATAAAAGTGAGTGCGAGTGCGAAACAATGACTACTGGGTGGTCAAATGAAGAGACATTCAAGTTCATAGAACTATATCAGAACCAACCAGTAATATGGAATCTTAAACATAAATATCACAAAGATAAAAATAAGGTAGGTACTTAGTTATTTATTTATCGTTATTATGAGGTTTATAATCGCTAATTTGTCATTCTGTTAACTTTAAATCATCCATTATGTTTTTTTACAGGCGAATGATGCATGGGCTCGTATTGCTGAGGAAGTGTTAGTACCAGTTTCCGAAATTAAAAGGAAAAAGGAAACCTTGTTAGCAGCTTTCCGGCTGAACTACATTGATATAATGATTGTATACGGAAATTAAATTAATGGTAGCGCGCGATTGGAACTCTGTTCATTTTGGAACTCTTACGGCTCGGACACGTTTGAGCGCGGACCCGAGGTCCATTTAGTAGTAGGTCAAGGAATATAATAGAATATTATATTTGATACTAGCTGTTCCCTACGACTTCGTCCGCGCGAAATTTGTTATGATTGGATTTCTTTTTATTTTTTTATTCAGGATAACAACAGCTTATTAACACTTAAACATTTTTACTCTAATTATTGAACACGACAAAGCCAATAATAGTTATCCACAAAGTAAAAGTTTTCAAAGATTTTAATTTTTTGCGCGGTACCCTACTTATTTTTCTAAAATAAAAGTAGCCTAAGTTACTCCTTATAACATCGGCTATCTGCAAATTAAAATCTCGTTAATATCGATCCAACCATTTCGGAGATTAGCTATAACAGACAAAAATTTTAAATATTGTTTTTGTTTTTGATACGAGTACCGTATATATTTTCTTATACAAATATATATGAAGTATGCCTTTTATTAAACAGTAAAAAGCTTTTATTTTGACAAGCAGACACTTAAATGTTATTTATTTGTATAGATTCAATATAGATTATTATTTACCTAACAATTATAGTCATTTTTTTATATATAGTTATACTGATTCGGAAAATACCAGTCCTGGGAAGAACCAGCAAGAAACCCAACAAGTTCATTATTTCTTAAACATTATATAACTTTAAAATAATTTTATACAACTTTTTACATGAATTTTTGTATTATATAACTAAAATAATTTTATACAACTTTTAACATGAATTTTTGTAAAATCAACATGGTGGCGATCACCTCCTCATTCCCAGGGATAATTTTCATTCATGTATTCCTCGATATTAGTGCACAGTTTCTTCAACGTTATCATTATCATTTTCTGTCCGTAGGAGCCCAAAGCTGAACATGGCCCTAGCCCATTATAGGAGGCACTTGCGCACCAGCCGTCGTCAAGGGTGGACGTACAACAAGCCTACAACATGCAAACCGATGCATTTCCCTTTGTGTTCGTCAAAAACCGACAATAGGCGGAGCATAGTCGAGCACGAACCAAATGCTCAAAGAGCGCTAGTTATAAGCTTGTAAGTCGGTCCACACAACACGAATTTGTGCTCGGCTCGTCTAGCATAGATTCACATAGGTACACAAGGGCAAAGTTTTTAACAATGATCACCTCTTCTGATTAATTCGAATAAACTGCACTTTATTATAGTTTCCAAAGTGACCACGCTATGACAAAGGCACCGACTTATTACTACGTAGTACCCAAGTGCCCAACGAAAGAAACCCACAGAATAATCCAGGGAAAGCGCATGCAATGGCGGCGTAAGAAAATCTACTACCTTTATCACCTCGTAGGTGTCGTAAGAAGCGTCAAAAGGAAATTAATCAGATGAGCAGCTACATTTTTCTGATAACATCTCAAAATAATAATCAGTCCAAAAACCACCAGCCAAGCACGGACATTGTGACAAATATTCCCCTCTATGACGCAATCTATTGGAAAGGCCTATGTCCAGCAGTACACTGTTGATAGACGGTAATAAATAAATGACCCAAGGTCTCAGTCAGGTTCACTTTGGGTCTTCGACATAATGAAATTAATCGATTACTGCAACTTAGAAATTCATAGTATAGTCTATATATAGTATGTGCCAAATCGATTGAGAAAAACGGACTATGACCTTTCGGTCGTTTAACCAGGGGTTACAAAAACCTTCAATATATAGGCACATTTTATATGTAGTAAGTACTTTCTTTATTTATAATGATTTTTTTATTATTTTTTTATAATGATTGATATATTTTTATTAACTATTATTAAAAAGTTATGTAAAAGATCGCTGTAGAAGAAAAATCATCTATTGTTATAAAGTACTTTATTCATTTAACAACAAAAAGCATTAATTCATAACACATATAAAGATTAGAGTGATAACGACGCCGAATAAGTACGTACTTATTCAAAAAATAAAACCTTATTTCCAATATTATATAAGAACTTTATTTTTATGCGGTGCATGCGGAGCGCCACAAAAAAGTAACGCATCTTTGGCTGCCATTGTCACGTTTCTTTTAGAAAGAACTGACGTAACGCGCGTTTTGTTTATTTTAAAGGGATGAATTTGCAAACGATCAATATGGTGGTTATATTGCTTTAAATATTATTTTAAATATGAAACTGTTATTAAATGAATTGCTGCGTTACTTACCAAAAATTGAAATATAAAATATAACACATTTTTCGCGATGTACCGTAAGATTTTACGAGGTTTATAGGAACCACAGGCAATATTATTTAAGAAACAAAAAAAGCAAAACATATGTGCTGACCTAGAAGTGTGAATAATATCAATATTTAAATATTGTTATCACATCTAAATTGAGATTTTGTTAAGTTACGCCTTTTGACACTAGGCTCATATTTGAGATCAGTGTCCATTTTTCTCAATCGATTTGGCACATACTATAGATGATATACTATTCATGCAGTTTAAACTTATATTTTAAATTTAAGTCGATTGGATATTGAAGGCAACTAACCGGTATCATGATAGTGGGACGCAGAGGCTGTATCGAGGGCTGGACTGCTGTTGGATAGTAGGGATAGTATTGTACTGGGTAGCCGATATATCCGGGGTATCCAGCTGCTGCCGCGTACATGGCCGCCGCGGGGCTATACATCTGTTAAACGATTAAGTTAGTAGAAAATATTACGAATTAAATTGCTAAATGAACATTTTTTAATCTACGGTTTACAGTTTATTGTGGCAATGTGTATTGTCTAGCTAGACAATATTGTCACTCGTCTCGTGTCGTGTCGCGGTGCCACTTAGAATGGTGTGAAATATTTGACATATTACAATAGCGGGAAAGTTCTGTAATATTTGTTATATTTTATATTAATTAATTTATAAATGAATAAACTAAACTACGGATATTCTTAAAAGAAAAATCATCATTTAGAGTTAAAATGTGAAAAGTATTAAGGAGCAAACAACTGAGGCATTGTTTTGAGTAATACTTTAGAAAACAATTAACTTTTATTTAACCTCTCAACCCCGTAGCGGTCTCATGAGACCGCGGCCATATTCCGTCAAACCCCTAGCGGTCTCATGAGGTCGCACCCACACACAGCACTTTAACCCATAAAAACTTATATATAGACTACTTTTCTATAAAGAAGTTTGGCGTTATATAATAAATATGAAATACTCTATCCTCTAGTGCAATAAAAAACTGTTATCCTATGAATATTTATTTATAATCTACGTTTATTTCGTACGCCATTTTTGCGTGAATGTTATTGTGTTGAATTTGGTTTTTTCTAGTGTTTTATTATAAAATTGTAATGAAAGTTTTTTTGTGAATATAATTTATCTTTTTACGTAAATAATATATTGAAATAATTGTGATTTTCACGCTGCCGACATTCGCTTGGTATATTTTTGTTTGTTATCAAAATACAATAAAATCTTTTTGTAATGAAGTATACCTGACTTTTGTTTAGACCACAATATAGAGAATTTTGTATAGATTTTATAATGCTAAACTTCTTCACAGAAAAGTAGTCTCTAAATATAAGTTTTAATGGTTTTAAGTGCTGTAGGTGGGTGCGGTCGCATGCGACCTCTCGGGATTTACCGGGCACATGCGACTGCATGGGATTTTTATGGCGCTTGAAGGGTTAAATGCAACTTCTCAATTATATGAAATTGTGTGAGAAAAAAAACTTCACTTCAACAAGTGTCATCTGGTCAACGGAAGATTATTAGCCCTTAATGAAAATTTATTGTATGACAATTAATTGTGAATGGAAGAATTTTAGTAGTGTTTGTTGTACGCACTGGCAACTGTTGGCTTAACGCTGGTATGGCCTGGTGGTGCTGCAGCTGGTCGTAGGGCGGGGGCGCATACACACCACCGGCCCCCGCGCCAGCGCCGCCGAACGCAACGCTGTACGGTGATCCGCCTGCCACTGAAATCAAATACAGTATTCGAGTCTTGATTGATGAAGAATACCCTAAACCTCATGAACTAAAAGATAATAAAAAATATCGACTACATCTGAGTTTGAAAAGTGCTTTTATTATGATTAATTAATTCCTTGCCCAAATTATATTATATATAGATTGCATTTTCTTTAGTTTAAATTCTACGTGTCGCGGTAAATGTCACGGTTATGAGCAATAAGCTAGGGCTCCGTGGCGCAGTGGCTTAGCAATGAGTTACAGCGCTAAGGGCCGCGGGTTCGAATCCCGCACGGAACAAGTATTTGTATTGCCTACAAGTAATTGTTCCGGATCTGGATGTTTGTCCTTGTGAAATTTATGTTTGTAAACTGCCCCTACGATACAGGAGAAAATCCTAGTGTGGAGCTAACGTTTTTAATCCAAAAAGAAAAGAAATAAAGAATGAATTTTAATGTCTCTGTTGTAATAAACTTTATTGTAAATCCGTATTCATTTTCGCGAATGCGTTATAGCGTTTTTCTAAATACGTTTGAAAAATACCAGTGATCTACTTTATCTAGTGCTGTAAAGAACGGCACTCGACACTTCGTTAATGGAATTTCATAATCAGATTTTTAGCAATTTAAATTATTAATCTTACTTTACTACTTAATAATAAAATATAGGGCAATGCGTTATTCCATGTTTATTTTCAAGCAATCTAGCCGTTATAACGTATTGATTGTATGTAGGGGTGACTAAGTACTCACTAGAAACGTTGACACGAATTTAAGAGTGATGCGCCTCTAAGTGCAGTAAGGATGCAATAATTTGATTTACTACTGCAGAAATTATGAAGACGTAAGCCTTGTACAAGCAAATTAGATTATACTGGCACAGATCTCGACGGGTTTCTTTACCTAATGACTTTGAAGAAAACTGATTTTATATGAAGTTTATGGTAATGTTTGAAATGTACACTATGCGATTTATTTGTTTGAGATTAGTTGTGATATATGAACGTAATAGTTGAAAGGTTAAAACTGTCAAGATAATAGTTTTTTTCATCTGCTTTAAAATAACCTAAGACTTTAATAGAATCCTGAATGGTGTAACAGTGTATATATCCACTACGTCATATCTTCCCGTGCCGTGACAGACTATAAGAGTATGAGGGAAACAAGCTAGGAGATATTTCTTTTTTTCATGAACAATATAAAAAGAATTATGGCTATATTTCTCTATTATGTTTTTATATTAGTTAAGGAAAAATATTAGAAATACTACCTCAAATGGCTTAGCAAGATCCTCCGTTATGCCGAAAATATTTCAGCATTAACTTTGAAATAAATATATAGTACAGTTGAGGATTAATGTTAAGTACTATGTTAAACGAAAACACGATTCCCTGAAATTTTATCGATAGGAAAAAATCCAAAGTTACCTCCAAATTGAACAATAAAACGCTGGTATTCATAAAATACTTTAAATTAGATCATGAAACTTTGCATACTACACTGAACTAACTATAAAGCAGGGCTTATGTTTTTTTTTTTTTGAATTACCATTATTTTCACTGTAAAAAGAAATTAACTAAACTATCGGCTTCGGCGTCTTAAAGCTTGTTTCCTGCCGCCCGATTAGTCTCACTTCGGCTTTCAAACGGGAAAGCTGTGTCGCTTACGATCAGAATACACATAACGTTACGCAACAGGACGACGTAAAATTAAAATGGGAAATAACCGTAATAAAAATAAGAAGCGACTGGGTTGCCGTAAAGAAACAGGCATAAATATGATAAACCTAATGAAATAAGTATCTAACGACCTATCTACTTACAGTATTAGTGATTACAAACATGTCGGTACATAGCATACGTCGCACGGGGAAGTGGGGGCGAAATTAGAATATGAGCTGAGTTACCATAGCCCCTTAATTTGTTCGCCAAATGCGACAAACAGGAACGGAATAACTGTTCAATTTAAGTAATTTTAGAAGGACTGGCTTTATATAAAATCACAGTTAAGTTATGGGAAAGAACAAAAAATTGGAATATGGCAGTGACAAATATACAAAAACCGGCCAAGAGTGTGTCGGGCCACGCTCAGTGTAGGGTTCCGTAGTTTCCCGTCCGTCACAATAAGTGTTCCCACTTACGAGTTTAAAGGTGGGTGGTATCCATTATGTTCGCGCTCCAGCAGCGCTCCGCGCTCCTGCAACTACTCCCGGTAGTGGGTACTGTTGTTTCCATCCAAGTTCAAAATGATTTTCCTAGAAAGCCCTTATAAAGTTCTACTTTTCAGATTTTTTTTCATATTTTCTAAACTTATGGTTCAAAAGTTAGAGGGGGGACACACATTGTTTTTTACTTTTGAATCGATTATTTCCGAAATTATTGACATTATCAAAAATGATTTTAGTAAACCCCTATTCATTTTTAAATACCTTTCCAACAATATATCACATGTTAGGGTTGAAATTAAAAAAAAACACTTCCCACTTTACATATAGGGGGCTACCCTAATAAAACATTTTTTTCCAATTTTTATTTTACCACTTTGTCGGCGTGATTGATGCACATATTGGTACCAAATTTCAGCTTTCTAGTGCTAACGGTCACAGAGATTAAGCGAGGACGGACAGACGGACAGACAGACATGGCGAAACTATAAGGGTTCCTAGTTGACTACGGAACCCTAAAAAGAAGTCACTCTCAGTCACTCAGAACACTAATAAATGTAATAAATTTATTAAGCACCATATGGGTCAGGCGAATACACACTTTTAGTGTATATAGCCAGGACCCATATGACATTAACCTAAAACAAAAATACGCTCAGATAAGATTGAAAGAACTTGGTAATCGCCTTTTGTGATCCAAGACGATATCTTTCTATTTACTTACCACCATACTGAGGTGCTGCCTGATGTGGTGGCGCCGGCAGGAATGGTCCCTGCGGGGGCTGCGGTTGAGGGTAGGCTCCAAGAGGGGGCGTTACTGTAACAACTTGTAGCGTCACGAACTAGTCGCACGATGGCCGCCTGACCGACCGAGGCAACGACATCTTTACGACTTTGACGAGGGGAACAGCTGATCATGCTAGTGCGTACGGATATGTATGCAATGATATCTCAGCAAAATTTATTTTTAGTTTTTAAGTCACCATACCCGTTACGTTTTAACATCAACAGACATGTTACACAGTAAACTCTATATACGCCAACTACGTCTTTTGTACGGATTTTATTTAATATCAACCTTTCTCGAGTGGCCATTCGTTAAATAGAGTCTCCGTGTTATATAAAAGTGCTAAAAGCTAAGTAATAATTTACATCGATAATTTATGAATTTTTTTTAATAAGTAATAATTAAATATTTTAATAAGATATCTGTGATTTAAACAATGAACTTAGTAAAAATATTACTCGGCTTATTATTGTTAACCCTCGTAAAAGACAAAGAAAAATAATCAAGGTTATTAAGATCTAAAAATGATGTCGGTGTTTCGATCGTCCAGCGGATCTTGCGCCGAGGCGCACCGCAACCCAAGCCCGAGCATTCACGCTAGACGCAGCGGTGTGGTCTAAGCATTAAAATGTCGCGAAGTAGTAATTATTTATCAAAGGCCACTAATTATCTATAAGTCCTTGAACTGCCTTAAAATACGACTTTGACAACCGAAGAACATTTTAATGCCGCTCTCACAGTGTAGGCGAACGACGAAAATTATCATAGACAATTAATTTCGTCTACACATTCCGCTGACGTCAGTGTTAACGACAAGCGATGCCCATACAACGCGCGTTACAGAACCGCTGGAGTTTTTTCAAATTTACTACAAGGTAAATATCAAAATATTGAAAAAACCCTATGCAGTGGCAACTGCCTTCGGCTCAGATTAGAAAATAGGTAGTAAACTGGACCGACGGCTGGCAACATTAATTTGGTAGGTTAAGTTGAGCGATTCAACACGGTGTGCGAGTGCTGATCACCTACCAAACGTTATTTACAATGCATTCCTTACTCTAATGATCACACCTACTTTGCACGATTAATCGTTGCTAGTGAAGTAATTTATATTTTATATATTTAATAATTAGTTAAGTCTTGTGCAGTGGTCGAGTGAGTGTGATCATTTATCATGGTACATCTTAGGTAACAAAACAATCATCACACAATAAAGGACCTTTAAAAAAGACAAGTTATATTTATAACATGACTGAAGTCATATCGATCGCATCCCAATTGTAGACATCGCTCAGGCGCGTCCTGGAGTTATTCAGATTGGATCAATACGAGCCCAATAATTACTTAAACCAGTACACCGGCATGTCTGCAAATGGAAATTGAGAGATACGGCTCATGGGCAGGTTCAAGAATGTTTAAATTTCTGATCCTCATCGAAGTTCTGACGTCAATATTTAAAAAAAAAAATCTTGTTCACATACGGAAATATTTTTTTATGATTAAGTACGATTGTACATCTCTATTCTGAACCTGCAAATGAGTTACTAGGCAGGCGCAACAACATTGATTTTCTTAAAATTGTGTCAATATACAAGTTGTTACAATTTTTCTAATTCGAGAATTATCTATTGTTGCCTCGGCCAGTATATAAAGAGACCTGTTACAAACATGGCCGCTTTAACAACGTCCATAAAACGTGAATAATACACGTCGATAACATTCCTCGAGAAATAAAAAGAAACATTATAATTGAATCTATTTCAACAGCTAACTAGAATAAACTTTGTACCAAGATTTATGGTTTTACTTTTCTTAAAATTTAAAATCAAACTTTTTGTTTACAAATGTCTTTATTTTCACATAATTTCGCAATCATAAATTGTAAAGCAATTATGCAAGAAGCAAGGTAAAAGAAAATGTTTATGATATGAGTGCATTGAAGGACACAGAATCATGCAAAGTATTAAGGTAATGTTCTAAACTACTATTTTGTAATAGCATACAAGTATGCTAGTCATGCCTAAACCAATGTTTATAAATTACAACCCAAGTGTAAAAGACGGAACACAATCTTAAGCGAAAACTGTTGCAATTCAAAACAAAATAGCCAAAAAAACGTAAAACAGCATAATTGGAAAATGGACACAGAACGCAAAAATCCTGGTAGCTTCCCTCACCATTAAACATTTAGAACTAAAAGGATTATTTTTATTAAAAAAAGTATTCCACTGTGCGTTAAGTGGAATGCTTTTCTTAAATGCACACATAGTACTTTTTATTTCATATTCTAAACAGGCAAGTTTGTTGTCATATTTTAATTTGTCCAATATAACATCAAACTACGATAATTGCGAAAATACAAAAATTCAAAACAGTTAATTTTATCAGGATCCCTGTAAAAGAAGTATGAATATGATCTAGCATTTGGGTAAAACAGGATTAATTAGATGATTATTACTGAAATATGTGGATTCTAAAACTATTGTGTTTCAGGTTCAATTATGTGAGCTACGAATGGATGTTGCTGAAGAGTAAAGAAATTAGTTATATAAACTTGCATACTTCCCTGTCCTTCAAATAAGCTTATACATGCACTTGTCCATTGCTTCAAATGAGAAACTATGGACATGTCATAGTGGAGATTACTCTGCAGTTTTCCCAGAAAAGTAATATCCACTGTTGCCTTAAACTAGTAATAACACACGCACTAACAGTTGTGTCATTCCCTTAACATTTTGGCTCGAACAATGTGACCAATGACCCTTTCAAATGGCTCAACAACTTTATAATAACAAGTGATGAAAAAACTAATGAACAATGAAACTAATTATGAAAGAGAAGGGTAACATGGTCATTTTTAGACTGCACAACATATAACAGCATTGAAGTTATGCAATCTAAAATAATGTTAATTTTAACTTACGTTTACAAACATACAACTAAACAAAGGCACGATTTTTGTTTGCAAATTATTTATTATGCAAAAATAGTGCCAAATTGACCATCACCTTAGATAAAATTAAACAAAAATTACCACAAAAATCTTTTGAAATGAAAAAAATCAGAATTTGTTGGTGAAGATAAATTTGAAGTTTAAGAAAAAACAGTAAAGATTTTTGTGTAAAAAGACCAAATCAGGTTAAGGTATACACCTCATTTGTTCTTTTGTTAGTAAAACACTCAATCTTAAATAAATTTTAGAGTTAAAACAGATTCCACACTTAATCAAAAGAATGGAAAATCTGTGACCATAATCTAGCACAGATAAATTTGATTGTGCTAAATATTGTGGAATCTTAAATTGGTGTGATTTTATGACTCCACTGTGAAAATGCAATGATGTGGACTACTACTATACTACAACTTAAGATTATAAGAATTTGCTTCTAATCTTGCAATAAACGTCAAATTACAACAAATATTGTTTGTACAACAGTTAAGTTATTTGGTATTATATGGTATGTTGTAAATAACATAGCATATTTTTGTCCACATCATTTCCTTTTAGTTATTACTTAACTATATCTTAAAACTGTAACAAAACGGATTAAACAAAGATATCCCTATTACAAAAAAAAACGCAAATAGGGATTCTTAACAGCAATGAGGCACTATTAAGTGTTTAATAATAAAAAAAATCTGTGCCTCAATGCTGTTGGTGCATGAAGCTGGATAGTAAGATTGACCACCTTGTTACTATTTAATAAGACAACGAGACTAATGGTCAATAATACTCACCAAAGTGTAAAAGAAATAGTAAAAAAATAAGCTGTGAACTAAATATTGAATGGTAAAAGAAAAACGGGAGCAAAAACACATATTTATTGTAGTAATTATTATTCAAAATGTGGCCTGCAATTTTTTATTTTAATAAATTAAGTGCACAGATTATGTATTTTGTAAAACCACAGGACACATCAATGTCTTACACAACTTACTCCTTTACGTTTAGTGGTAACTAATGAAACTGACAAGGGAGCATGTTTGTCCACTGAAGTTCTGATCACTAATCCAGAAGGACTATAAAACACTATACAAAATTCAAGCCAAAAACATCTACTGTACAGCCAACCATTTAGCTTTAAGTCAAATACACCAGTCCTGCCAGAAGAGTAACTTTGTTTGATAAAACTACGTTTAAATAAATTGAATATGATAATATTACAATGTCTTTATTAAACATGCTGTATTGTCAATTTTTCATAACTTTTTATAAGAACTTGATTGTTATGTCTTCTAAGATGTTATTGATAAAATAGAAGTTAATAAACCATAATTTTATAATCACAACAAGGAAAGGAAGATAACACAATAATCAAGTTCTCATTCGGGTTACATTAGAGGTACACATACGATCGTCCACACGCCGATACGCACATATCATATATTGGTCTCTCTTTAACTATTTCCAAAAAAAGAAAAATAAATAAAGAAAAATTCTATATGGTGTCATTACATGGTAGCGATTAGTCGACGGCCGCGCGGGGTCGGCGGCGCCACACACGCGGCTCCTGCAGACGAGGGGCTGGGGGGAGGGGCCGGGCAAAGGGAGAGGAGGGGAGCAGGAATCGTATTATCATTATGTCTAATAACTCTTTCTGGACAGCAACACCTGTCCTCAGGCACCTTTTAAAAAAATACACTTCCCACGGCTCAACTTTAGTATCACTAGTCAGTGTCTATATTTATATCCTGGAGTTGCATAAACAAGGCTCCAGACAAAACCATTTCTCATTAAATAAGACGCTCATAATAATTCAAATGATTTGCTTAACACATGACACATGTAACATCATGGAGGCCACATTATATATTGATTGTAAATATTCTTAATTTTTGGTGTGTTATTTTGACATAAACAATCGTTTTCTCATCAGTCGATGCAACAATATTTTTATTACATAATTCAACAAATATATTAGTGTATATATACATATATCTGGCATTGATTTATTTAATATTGCTGTATGCAGATATTATTTGAATTTACTTTATACATTTATATGTATAATAATAAATTTTCTATTTATAAATAAAAAGAACTGAAATGCAGTGATCAACTAACAATTAAAACTACTCAATTATTGGAGCGCACTTGCATTCTATTGCTTTTTAAGCGATGTATGAGTATACAGAAACTGGATAAATGAGCTTTGCTCATTATTAGAAAACTTTGTTCTTAGGTGTGAAACCTTTATAAATTATATTTTTATATACTCTGAAAGAAAAACATTACCTAAATACAAAATTTCATTATCCGTTATCAATCATCTATAATATAATTAATTAACATGTTCCCTGTCGCATATAAAATCATGATTATATCCACATGTCCACTTTAGATTTCGATTATAATAGTTTAATATAGATACCAGTAATACAGTTTAGCTGTTATTTATTTATCATTTCTTTTGGGTTTTTTTAATAGGCCAAAAACCCAATGAGGTCAACCCCGACCTCATGGATGTGTGAGTATGAAATTATGTTATGTTAATATATATAAATATTTATAGCAAGGGTCGTGAGGTATGAGTGACCTCATGAACATGTCAGTAGAAGTCTCGAATGAGGTCAGGGTTTACCTCATGGACAGGGAATGTGTTAAATATATGTAGGCAAATCTAATTTCACTTTACAATTACAATACAAATTCTATTTAACAGAATATCATAACAGACTAGATGACCACACCTGAAAAATAACTCTTTTTAAGGAAGTACCTATCCTTTAACGTAGTACTATTATTTATTCTGTGCCTTTATTGTCAGTTTCTATTTTACAAATTAGGTCAATGTGTAACAGTTATTGTTATATAAATGGGGACTTTATTATAAGTATTAATATTTATTTATTCTATTTAGAATCTTTATTCCACATAAAGGTTATTATAATTAGTAGACTTAAGGCCTTTATATTATGTACTTATAACAATCGCAGTAAATACTGCTCCATGTAATGTTAAAATTAATAAATAAATTATAAAACATATTTTATAAAAAAGTATATAAGTTTGTATGAGCATAAATTATATTGCCATTAACTTCTGAATGAACTATACGCAAAGTTCATTGCTTTTTAATCAAGTTTCATTATTCTAATGTTAATTCAACATCTGTTTAAAAATTACCCTTTTGAAATGATAAATGTACAAAATGGTAAATTTTTTACAAATCTTAATTTAATAAAATAGACCAAATGTAGATGTTTAAGCCATCAGAATTTTAATCCACTTCATTAGCAGTGGTAGTTGTAAATCAGTAAGAGTGATGAATAAGCCTAAATTTAGAATTTTCCTCAACATCCCAACTTGCAAGACTAAGAGGTGTCATCCATCTTGGATTTACGAACTATTGATCTGGTCATCTAAGCATAATGGATTAAATTTTTAATATTTAAAACCCCGTCAAAGAAATATCTGAATACTGGCATAAATCATAATTACATGCAACAAATAATCTTATTGTTGCAAAATACTATCAATCCAAGGCTCCATGACGTTACATATGTCAACCTTCGAAGAAATAGCAAGAACAAAGAAAAATATAATTGAAATGCATAAATACCTTTTTTGTCTGCCATTTTTATTTTAATGTTGTATTTACTACAATATATTACACGATTATTAAGATAGTTGCGAAAAAGTTTATAAAATCACGACAAAATATTACAACGTAGTCGCAACCAAGCGCTTCTTCAAAGTTCGATTCTCGCAACCAGTGTTACCAGTTTATTTTCCCTAGAACCGAGCTAAAACCTGCCATCACTAAATTAGAAATTGCAATAAAAAGTGCTAGCTATCTTGCAACAGAATTGATAGATTTCTGCAATTTTGTTTGTAAATGAAACAAAAACAAATACTTAAATATCATATTTGCTCTCCATAATATTACAAATGTTTATACAAAGTACTTATTATTTTATTTAGTACGCTTCGCTGAGGCCCTAAATAAATTTTATTTTTAATTTTACAATTTTTTTTAATTTTTAAACTGGTAAGCGAGAAAAAGAACGAATGTGTAAACATTAATTTGGTTTTTATTATGTTGTATATGTCTTTCACCATTACCTTACCTACTTATATTACCTACCACAAAAGTTATCCACGAATAAAAAGTAATTGTTTTAATAGTTATTATTACTGCTGGTGAAGAGAGTCTTAAAAGAAGGGGGACTTCATAGCTAAGATTATTTAAAAAAATATTGGTCCATGACGTCTGTCAGATTTGCGCCCCAACGGACTATTAAAGTGAGAAATTTAGTCTGGAGGATATAGAGACCAACTAAACGGAATATTCATTTCGTAAATTCCTATGTCTAATACTATAAAAAGTGCCTTTAAACGAATATCTGGTACCTGGTAAGATATGCAGGAAGTCGATGGATGCAGGTGGCTCAGGACCGTGCTTTGTGGCATTACTTGGGGGAGGCCTATGTTCAGCAGTGGACTTGTGAAGGGCTGTGATGATGATGATGATGATGACTCCATCTATTGGGGGGTTCCCCTACACTTCACCCGTCAGCTGCCACTAGAGAACCTTTTTTTTCCATTGCTTGTCGGTTCTTAGAGCTATAGGGCCGGCCCATTGCCACAGTTCCGTTTGCGCACCGCTCCCGAGCGGTAGTACATACAGTCCGCGCTCCGTCCTCGTGCGGTAGTGCAACCTCTCGCCCGCGCGCCCCACTCTCCCCGGCTCACACCGCACCAAGCAGACGCTGTTGATGAGTTCTTTTTGTTTCGCATCGTTCTTGCCTCCTCGCTTCGGCGGGAAGGTTCGAGCGCGCTTTGTTTTTATTGTTTTGTTTTATTTTTAATTTTTTCTGTTATTGTTTTATTATTGTTATACTGTTACTTTTTTTGTTTGTTACTGTTCTTGGAAGATCGTCTCTTGCTCTTCTCAGAGCGAGCCCTTGTTCTTGTCAGAACATAGGGACCCCAGCTTCTGGGAATAGAACGTCAGTCCTCCCTATCTGCCACCAAAGGCCCTGTTCTTCTCAAAGCAGGGACCTCTAGATTCTTAGACTAAAATCGTCACCTCCCCCCCCACTGTCCAAATCAACATGTCTTCCATAGACATGAGCAATTTCACGAGCCAACTTATGGCCATGATCGCCCAATTCTTCAAAGCCTCAAGCTTACCCATACCCACCCAAATTGACGAGACCCTTCACGTCAACGCCATTTTTCCCGTTGCGCCTATGGCATGTGTCCCCCCGCCCCCCGTCGTGGCTTTCCTCGCGACCCAAGCGGCTGCCCCGCAGACCGACTCGCCCGCGTCCCCCCGACTCGGATATGGAGCACTCGGACACCACGTCCGCTACCTCCTCTTCCCGGAAGAGGACCGCCCACAGCTCCACCGGCTCCTCGGAGTCATCCGACTCCGAAGGAACGATCATCGATACAGCCCAATTCACGCTAGTGAAATCCAAGCGCGGCCCGAAGTGCGCTGTGACTTCCCGCACTCCCCTGCCCCGGCGGCCGCCGCCGCTATTGGCTACAAGCCAAGTCCCGCCCACTGTCTTTCTCAGAGACAAGGCGAAATTTACACAGCTGTCCAAAACCCTCTACGATAAGGGTTTCAAATATGACCAAGTCACCAATGTCAGCGAGGCCATCAAAATCATGCCGACGTCTATAGAAAACTTCCGGAACATAACCCGCCTCTTCACGGCCGAGCGTGTGTCCTATCACACATACGCTCTCGCCGAAGAAAGGAAAGTCAAGGCGGTCTTCCGCGGATTCCTTATGAACTCGCAAACGAGGACATTCTGGAAGACCTTAAGTCCCAAGGCTTCCCCATAGAGGCTGTGCACAAGATGCACAGCAGCAGGGGCGAGAGATTTAACCTCGCCCTCCTCGTTCTCACCAATGTGCCGGAGACGAAGGCCGTCTTACGCACTCTGTGCGGCCTGTCACGTGTAAGGGTCGAAGCCCCACACCGGCGCGGTTATCCAGCGCAGTGCCACCGCTGCCAACTTTATGGGCACGCGACAGCCAACTACTCAGCCCCAACCAGGTGCGTTAAGTGCCCAGAACCCCATCACTCGAAATAGTGCCCTCGGCCCAAAAACGCTGAATCCCCACCCGCATGTGTCCTATGCGGACAATTAGGCCACCCGGCCAACTTTAGAGGCTGCCCTAGCGCTCCTCGCCCACTTCTGAGCTACAAAGCTCCACCTCAGGTCAATGACCGAATTTTCCCGGCTCTTGGAAGCCGCATGCCCCACCAGAGCCTGCCCCTACCACAGCCCCCTCAGGGCTCATCTCAGCCCACACAGGGCATCTATCAGCCCCCTCAGGGCCCCTATCGGCCACCTCAGGGCCCTCCTCGGCCCCTTATGAGCATTCCGCTCTCCCAGCCTGCGCCGCTCCCAATAAACCCTTGGTTCCCAAAGGCAACAAACATCCCGCGGCCATCCGCCGCCCCACAAAAACAGGCAGACCCTATAGCAGATGACCTAAGCGTAGTGTCTAACACTATGAATAAGATCAATATAGGGGAAATCTCTATCCTTGCGCGTAAACTGCGCGCTGCTCAGTCCCCTCAGGACCGTCTCCTTGCTCTTTCTGAGCACATCGATCTACTAAGGTCGTTGTAAAAACACTATGCCGGAGCCCTCTGCTCCCGCAATATCGCACGGTCGTATCAAACCAAAGGGTTTGTTACTTGTTTCGTTCAATATCCGCGATTTGCGAAATAACCTCCCAGAGCTTAGGCTCTTTCTTCGAGATCGCGAAGCCGACCTTCTCCTCCTTCAGGAGACCCACCTCAGCCCTAAGGTCTCTAAAGGCCTCTCTATCAAAAGTTATTCACTTCTTCGTAATGACTTCTTCTTCTTCTTCTTCGGAATGACCCAAACGCAAAGGCGGCGGTACTGCCATTTATTACAAAAAGTCCCTTCATTGCTCCCACATCCCCACTCAGACGCTTACCAGTATGGAAGCCACTATCACTAGATTAGCCATGATTGGACACCAGTCTATCATTATAGCCTCTTGCTATATCCCTAGCGGAACCCTCCCCGTTAAAAGTGATTTTTTTATAGAAGAAGGACAAACGAGCATGCGGCTCACCTGATGTTAAGTGACTACCGCCGCCCATGATCAACTGCAACACCAGGGCAATTGCAGGTGCGTTGCTGGCCCTTTAGAAAGGAGTACGCTCTTTTCTTGAAGGTCCCCAGGTCGTATCGGTCCGGAAAAATCGCTGGTGGTAAACTATTCCACAGAGAGGTTGTACGCGGAAGAAAATTCCTCTTGAAACGTACAGTGGTGGACCGCCAAGCATCCAGTTGGTGTAGATGGTATCGGGACGTTTGCCGCGTAGTGCGTTCACGAAATTTCGCGGCTGGGATTAATCAGAACAATTCCTCAGAGCACTCTCAATGGTATATGCGAAAGAAAATGCAAAGAGATGTAATATCTCTTCGCAGTGCCAGTGAATCGAGCCGATCGGAAAGCACTCGGTCGTCGACGATTCGCGCCACTCTGCGCTGGATGCGGTCAAGGGGAAGGAGCTGGTACTGGGGAGCCCCAGCCCAGAGATGGGAACAGTATTCCATGTGCGGCCGAACCTGCGCCTTGTAATGTTGCAGGCGGTGTGCCGGCATGAAATACTGTCCCGCCCTGCTGAGCACACCAAGCTTTTTAGAGGCCAATTTGGCCTTCTCTTCCAAGTGACCACGAAACTGCACGTCACTCGATATGTCAACGCCGAGGATTCCGATACTGACTGAGGCAACAAGGGGAATGCCTTGTAACTGAGGAGATACGACAAAGGGGTTCTTTTTAGCGGTTAACGCGCTAACTAGTGTCTTCTGGGGGTTAAACTGGACTACATTAGTCACCCCCAATCCGAGACTTTGTTCAGCAAAGACTCGACTTCAGACACAAGTTTCTCCCGACACTCGGACACGTTTTGCCGAGAAATATTGGCTCGGCCAGTGTAAAGAGCATCACCAGTGCTGTCATCTGCATAGCAATGAATGTTACGGGTTTGCAAAATATCATTGATATGCAGAAGAAACAGCGTTGGCGATAGCACGCAGCCTTGTGGAACACCAGCATTAATAGGCTTGCAATCGGAGCTTGCACCGTCTACAACGACCTTAATGCCCCGATCTGCAAGAAAGCTGGTGATCTAATCGCACAATTTCTCGGGAAGCCCATAGGAAGGGAGCTTCGAAAGAAGCGCTTAGTGCTGAACCCGATCCAAGGCCTTCGCAATGTCCAAACTAACGGCCAATGCCTCCCCGTTAGACCCTACTGCCTCCGCCCATCTGTGAATTAGGTAGACCAGAAGATCACCAGCTGACCGACCACGGCGAAAACTGTATTGGCGTCACTAATCAGCTGGTGATTCTCAAGGTACCTCATGAGCTGGCAGCAGCAGCTAGCTTTACAATGGACTCCATTGTTTTGGAGAACAAGGAGGTGATGGCGATAGGCCGGTAGTTGGACGGGTCTGAGCGGTCGCCTTTTTTAGGGATCGGGTGGACGAAAGCCGTCTTCCATGATTTTGGGACTACGCCTAGGGAGTAGGAGTACCGGAAAAGATGCGTTAAAACCGGTGCCAACTATG